AGGTGCTCCCAAACGTGCTCTATTGGATTCATGTCAGGATTTTGGGCTACCCATGGCAGTGACTTGATTCCTTGCGATTCCTTCCAGGCCTTTGCTACTTTGCTCGTATGACATGGCGCTCCATCTTCTTGAAAAAGGTAGACATTCTTGTCAATCTGATTGGTTTCAAATAGTGGGAGTAGTCCTTTCTCTAATATTTGACAGTATTTTGGACCAATCAACTGCTCGTTTACAAGAATCAGCTCAGATTTCCCTCCAAACCAGACAGCGTCCCACACCATTACTCAAATCCTTCCTCATTTCACGGTCGGCTGCAGACATTCAGTGTTCCAAGTCTCATTCTAATTTCCCTAAATATAAACCAATCTCGAATTTGAATACTGACAGAATTTACTTTCATCTGACCAAATTACAGACTGCCAAAATTCATAATCTTTGCTCTCGAATTCTTTGTGTTTTCCATACGCCTATTCATGTTAACCTCTGAAATCAATTAAAATTCTTGCAACTCTTCTTTGATAGCTGTTGTTTCAAGTTTTTCACTTGGATACTTGATTTTCCTAAGTTTGTCCTTCTTTAGGTTCGACGGAACTTTCTTGAATTCCAATAAAATGACGCAGCAAAATCTAGTTGTGGTTTGATCTTTAATGTTGTTCCATCGATACAACACTTCTTGTCTGAAGCCCTTGCGAATATTATTAACCTACTGATTATTAACCTGGGGAGTCTAGAAACAATAGAATAGCTTGATTTGCCACAATCTGAGAATGATCCTACTATTTTGCCTTACACACATTCACACACACACACCACACACACACTAAATTGAACCTGGGAATAACAGCATATATATATATAACATATATATCGTCAAAATGAACAAAAAGAAGGACTTCTTATTCCAAAACCATAATTCTTAATTAACTGGTGTTTTTGACCGCAGTTTGATAATTAACTATTTTGCCAATAAATGGGATTTTAATTGTGCATTATTTTCAAGATGAACCTGAACATAATCGGCAATTAGAAACTTCGTTCTCTCAAAACCTCCTGTCTCTTATAGTGAATTTATCGTCAATTGTTTAAAACTACAAACTCTAGCTTGATTTTGCCCCTAAGACATGGCATCCTTGATGAAACATACCTGAAAATCTGTGGTAAATCATGTTTCACCTATCAATAAATGTGTGAACCTGAAATTTGATACCTGATTTTTTAATTTCGCTTTATTTTTAAAAATAAAAAAAATCAAATAATTTGGTTCATCTTTGACTGGACCAGTTACAGGCCAACATCCAACTAACTCTCCACATATGTACCTGATATCATCGTACACCACGATCATAATTGTCCTCGTTAATTTTCCCATAGATATATTAATTTTCTGAACAAAATCATTTTTATATTTATATTGATATATATATATATATTTATATATTTTTTTTTTAAATAAATATATATATATATATATGTTGCCGAAGGTCGGTTTTTAATTTAAATGTATTCTGGAAATTCTTGATTCAATATAAATGTTGTTCCCATAATCCTAAGGGCACTAAACCACCCAAAGAATTAGCACCTGTTAAGGTCCCATTGGGATTTGAAATAATGTTAATTGAAAATTAAATTAAATCCAAAACATTATTGAAAATGTAAAATATATTTTAATAACAGCAATATATTTCTGGAAAAAATATATATATATCAAATATATTTTTTTAAAAAAATACCAGGAAAATGTCAAAGGTTTTTCTGTTTAATTTTTAAAAAATTTTATCTGCATTAAATAACCCATTGAGGTTGATATACCGTAAAAACAAAATAAACCAAACCTATTGATTTACAAACTTAATTTCTTACAAAGAATACATATTCTATTCATAAACCTATCCTAAAAATCATGTCGGCATTAAATTTTCCATTGAAATTGATATATGCCGTTGATATTATATTAAAACCTGATTTACAAATTGAATTTCTTACAAAGAATACATATTCTATTCATACGAACAGATCCGCAAAAATGCAATTTATTTTAAATAACCCATTTTATTTTTTATACCGTAAAACAAAATAAACCAAACCTGATCTGAAAATTTATTTTTTACAAAGTAAATACATATTCTATTCATGACGAAAACTATCCTTTTGAAAATCTTGTCTTATTAAATAATATATTTCTTATATATTTATTTTTAAAGAAAAATAAACCAAAAAAACCCATAAAATTCATTTTTCCATTGGTAAATATAAATGGTTTTTTTTAACTAAGAAATATTATATTTGAACTGTCAGCGCAGTATGTATCAAAATTATGAAAGGAATTGAACAATATTCAATCTAGAAAATCAATATGAACTTTTTTCATTTCTTTTGGACTTGAAATTATATTTTCCGAGCCAAGAGGCAGCATGCCCAAAACTCCAAATATTTGGATTTTTCAGAAACTGTTATGTCTGAAATGCTTTCGTATAAATTTCTTTTTATAATTGATAATGAATAAAATTGATTTTAACTGGTGTGTTTTTTTCAATATTTTTGTGGTGAAAAATGTTTAAATAAACTTCTAACATTTATTTCTGTGTTTTTAATTTTTTTCATTCCTCTTTCATAATTCATAAATATTTACTAAGAAAAATTAATACTGTTAATAATTGATTTTCTGGGAAAAAATAACAAAATCCCTCATTTAAGCAAGATCGTCCTCAATAGACTGTTCTATTCAAGACAAATATCATATATGTCATATATATTTTTATTGTATATATATATGGCCAGAAGATGTCCATTGAATCACCTTCATGTCTCAGTTTTTCTCGTTTTATGACCGGTAGATAGAATCGACCAGGTTGGTTAATATAAGTAAAAGTCAGGTCCTCTAAACCGATAGGAAACAAATGAATAAATAAATTTAAAAAAAAATTACATAAATGATTTGGATTTCAAGTTTCAAAAAAGACGGATGTTAAATCAAACAGGTTGACTATTGACAAATGTCCTTTAAATTCCGATGTCTTTCTTGTTTGCCTTATTTTGACCACGTTATCCCATAAATACAGTAATGGAAAAAGATTTAGCAGAACGAAAATTCATACACATTATAAACAATTTCCTATATCAATATATTTATATTCTTTTATCGATGCATATTTTATTCATCATTTTTTCCATCTTACGTTTCCATAAAGGTTAAATCCAGCGGCCCTTTTTCAAATTTTTTTAATTTCATTAACGTGAACGAGAATGGAAAAAGATTTTTTTTTCTTTGCCATAGTCGAAATGAGACCTTCTGTGGAATATACATCCTCTACTAATATAAATATACTTTGTTTCATATATTTTATATTTTTCATATAAATCTTTGGTTTAATTATTTAAAACTTTTCAATCAAAAAAAAAAAAATATTTAAAAATCCATTTGAATTTTTTTGGACGGCACAATTTATGTTAATTTGATGGACTGTTTTTTCGTAATTTCTTTTCCGTTTTTTCAGCGAGAAATTCTTTTGGAACACGCTGTTCAGGGAATGAAAAAACTTCTTTACTATGGAATACGAAAATAACTGAAGACGATTCGGCGTTGCATACGTAGCACAAAATAGTTTATCTGTTCAGGTTTCTAACTTTTTGAATCGATGGATGTATTTCGAATAAGAACATCTGAGAAAAGAAATTGGCCAGTGTATCCAATGGTTTGACGTTTACGTTTCTGTCTAAAGGGCATGACCATGGATCTAGAAAAAATTATTCAAAGACCACAAAAAAAGTTCGTCGACGCAGTTGAGATACAAAATTCGGTAGAAAATATCCGCAATACAATATTTTTTGGTTTGAAAGTATATGAAGTAAAGATGAAAGACAGGATGATTATATTGCAGATTTTCAAAAACGGCAAAATTAAGATCATTTTCCGGCATTTTATAAAAGATTTTTCCAGTATTTCATTTGCTAGACGAATGGTAGATTTGTAGATATTACCTGTCTCAAAAAATCTCTCTTTTTTTCCAAAGATCAACAATTATTATGTTCTCGTAGAAAATTTTAAACCCCGTCAAGACCGAAGATTCGGTAGATAGGTCAGCAATACATTATTATTATTTTTTTTTTTTTTTGGTTTAACCTGACGCTTGTAAAATGACGCATGACGGGTTTTCGTTTAACATTTTCTTAAAATATAATTATTTAATTTTTTTACAACATTTTAAAAACGGATCGTATAATGAGCCCCACTTTTAGGTTTTCTTTTTAGAAAATTTGTCAAAAAAATAAATGTCCAATCAAAGGAAAACCACAAACGCCACCTAGAAGCCTTTTCTTTTGTCAACTTTGGAAAGAGACGATTTTATTAATATTCAATATTATGGCAGTAATATACCATTTTTAATCTCGATGTGACTCTTGCATTGATAGGGCATATTGGACGTTCAGACACTTTCTGGAATTGCATTCTTTACCAATCAATTTTATTAATTTTAATGAATCATATCGTAATTTGTTTTCCTCTTGAACATCTGCATCTCTCGTTGATCTTCTTGTAGGCGTCCAAGTTCCTTGTAATAATTAAATTGGACGTTTTTGATTCCGTCAATGATGGAAAATTTTTCCATTGCAAAATACAATTCTACATGTCAAATAATATTCCATTTTTTCCTATCTGTTTCTTTAAACAATTCAAGAGCATTCATGTCCAGGAGGTATAAGATTAATTCTCGGATGGAATGGGCTATTTAAACTTTTAATATTCTCGTAAAATAAATTTCTTCAGGACTTCTCAGAATTTGGATAATAGGCTTCAATGTTGTTACCTCCTTAGATTCTCAACCACTAATATTCATCATGAGTCTGCTCCCTCAATCTCTTATTTTGCCAAATTCCAATTAAATATTTGTTTTTAAAAATTTTTTATTCCATCAAAAACTATTTATTTATTTTACATAATACGGTTATATATATTATTATTTTTTTTTTTTTTTGTTGACATTCATTAAGTAATATTTTAGTTAGATGAATGAATAGATAGATAGATAGATAGATAGATAGATGAATGAATAGATGAATAGATGAATGATATAGATAATAGATAGATAGATAGATAATGATAATATATAAATGAATGAATATATATATAGATAGATAGATAGATAGATATAGATATAATAGATAGATAGATAATATATGTACATAGATAGATGATATAGATAGATAATGATAGATATTTGAATATATAGATAGATAGATAGATATATATAGATAGATATATTAGATAGATGATAGATAGATATATAGATAGATAGATGAATAGATAATAGATAGATAGATATATAGATAATAGATAGATAAATAGATAGATAGATAGATAGATAAAATAGATAGATGTATAGATAGATAGATAATGAATAGATAGATGAATAGATATGGATAGATAGATAAATATGATAGATAATATAGATAGATAGATAGATAGATAGATATATATATATAGATAATAATAGATAGATGATATAGATAGATATGATGATAGAATAGATATATAGATAGATAGATATAGATAGATAGATGTATGATAGATAGATAATAGATAGATAGATATGATGATAGATAGATAGATAGATAGATAGATAGATGAATAGATAGATAGATAGATAGATAGATAGATAGATAGATAGATATATATGAATATATTGATAGATAGATGATGAATAGATAGATAAAGATAAATAGATTAATAGATAAATATATAATAGATATATAGATAGATAATAGATATATATAATAGATAGATAATGATATGATATAGATAGATAGATAGATAGATTAATGATAGATAGATGATATAGATAGATAGATAGATAGATAATAGATAGATAGATAGATAGATAGATAGATATATAGATAGATAGATAGATAAATAATAGATATATAATATTTTGAACTTATAAATTTTATCATTCTTTGAAAATGAAATACATATTCTGTCAAATTTTCCATAATATTTTTCTTTATTATAATAAAAAAAATTCATTCATGTTGGGGATCTAAATGATAAATGAATTAATCGATGAAAAATTTAAAAAAAAACGCAGAATCCATAACGAACATTCATCAAATAATCCTTGGTGTTGTAAATAATAATTTGTTTCCATTAATTATATTTTTAATTTTACATGGCACAATTCATTTCGTTAACAATGACCTTGTAATGATAAATAAAATTTTTGCGTTATATCATCATTAATTTTTTATTTTTCATTATTTCAAAATGATGACGTTTCTTTCAAAAATGGTTTATATTCTTTTGAAAAAATTTAAATTATTTAAAAATTTCTCAATTTTTTAAGATATATAATAATTTCACATGAAATGATTTTGAACATTTTTTTCATTTCTCAAAACAATAGATAAAAAAAATCAATCTCAACATGGAGAATTAAAAAAAATAAAATAAAAATAATTGTTCGTGAAAATTAAAATACTATATACAAAAATTTTTTAAAAAAAAATTATATTTAGTTGTTAAAAATGGAATTTCATTTATATAAATAAATTTATAAATAAATCAAAGAGATTTTTAGTTTTATTTCTTATAAAGAAATTTTAAATTATAAATTTAAATTTAAAAAGAAAAAAAAGTTTTAAAATTTTTTCAAAATAAGAAATTCATAATTTGAATTTTATATTTATAATAATATAAAAAAAAATTAAATAAATTTTGCGAATAAATCAAAAATGGAAAAATTTTTTGAAATGAAATGAAAATTTTAAAATTTTGAATATATATATATAAATTTATATTTTAAATTATTTTTTTTTCTTTTGATATGACAAAAAGAAAAAAGAAATAAATAAATGAAAAAATAAGAAAAATGGAAAAAAAAAAAAAAACATTAAGAAAGAAAATTTATATATAATAAATTTCTATATATATATAAAGAAATAAAAATTAAGAAAGAAATTTATTTTTATATTTCTATTATATTAAATAAAAAATCTTCTTATAAAAGATTTTAATAAATTGTAAAAAAAAGAAAGAAAAAAGAAAAAATAAAAAGAAATTGATATTATATAATATAAAAAAATATTATATAGGAAACAAAATGAAATCATAAAAAAAAATCAAAATTTATATTTTAAATAAATAGAAATTGGAAAGAAAAATTTAAAGAAATGGCAAACATTTAAGAAAAGGAAAAATAAATTTTTTAAAAAAAAAATTTTTCAATGATGAAGGAAATATTTATAAGGTATTTAAGAAAAAATTTCATATATATGAATGAATAAGGAAAGAAAAATTCTAAAGACATTTATTCGGACTGATCTCATTGAAGGAAGAAATAAAGGTAAAAAAAGAAATAAAGAAAAAGAAAATTCAAAGAATGAAGAAATAAAATAAAATCAAAACGTAAAATAATTTGTAGATATGAAATATAGCCGTCAAATATATATATTTTTAAAGAAATATAAACCAAAGAAACAAATTTTTACTCAGAAAATAAATTCCTAAATTATAGATTTTTTAATAAATCTATAAAGGTTTGAAAATTCAGAAAATATTTTGAATATAAAAAGAATGAAGGAAAATGAAATAAATAAGGAAAAAAATGAAATAAAAAAAAAAGTAAGAAAGAAAGAAATGGCAAAAAGAATGAATTTAATTAAATATTCTTTCTGAAGTTCAATTAAATTTAAATGACGGAAAGTTAATGAAATAAAATATATAATGAAAAAATGAAAAATCATCTATTCAGAAGAATAAAAATGTTTGATGAAGGGAAGCAATGAAGGAAGAAACGCATTTTTTTATAAATTAAAAATATATTTTCATGATGGAAGGAGGAAGGAATCTAGAAAGAATTAAAGAATATATATAAGGAAAATTTTTATATAATATATATTTGGTATATAAATATATGAAACAATGAAGGTATGAAGGTTTGAAAGAATTTCCTTTCTCTGAAAGAATAAATAATGAATAAATAAAGGATTTATATGGAAATGAAGGAGGGAATTCTTGAAAAAATTTTGGTTAAAAGGCTGAATTCATTAATTTTAGGAAATTTCTAGAAGGAAATTAATCAATGAATAAATTAAATTGAAGGAATTAATTTCAAGGAATAAAAAAATATAATGAATGAAAAAAATGAAGAAGATGAATGTTAAATTTAAAAAATAAAGATCTCGATTTTATGAAAAGAAATTTAACAAAAAAAGAAAAGAAAAAATTTAAATTAATAAAAATGAATAAATTAAGGAAGGATCAAAAAAAAAGTTGAAAGGAATCAATGAAAGAAAAACGAATGGATGAATGAAGGAAGGAATGAAGAAAAGAGGAATGAAAATACAAATGAAAAAAAGAAGGAAAAAAAATTTTGGAATTAATGTATATTCTTCAAATGAAAATTTGAAGGAATAAATGGAATCTTTGAATGAATGAAGGAAGAAAGAAAGAAATAAAGAGAGGAAAGGAATTAATGAAAACCTTTTTAGGAAGGAAAGATATGAATATATAAAGGAAAGAAAAAAATGAAAAATGGAGTCGTAAGGAAGGATAAAAATGAACGAAGGACGAATGGAATTAAGGAAGGAAAGAATGAACGAAGAAATATAGGAAGGTTGAAAATAGAAAAAAAAAATAAGGATATTTTTACAAAGTATGATGGAATGAAGGAAGGAATGATGGAAAGAATGAAGCAAAGATTGAATTTTTTTCTTTAAAAGATAAATATTTTGCAATTTCTTTCCCCTGATCCAGACAGAGATATCTAGAGATCTAAAAAAGAATAGAAAACGATGTATTTATTATAAAAATTGTTAAATATTTTATTTTTTCAAAAAAAATTCAAAAATTAAAATGTGTGTTGTTTCTAAATTGTGTTTTAACTATAATCGTGTGTTTGTTTTTGGGGGGTTTTTTCCACATTTGTTTTGTCTTTTTTTTATCCTTTATCTTTTTATGGATTTGAAGATTTTAGGACATTGAATTTCAAACATCATTCATATATATTTAACAACGGAGGTGTTGAAACAAAATAACTATTTTTGTAGTGATTTTATAACATGTTTATGTTATAATTTTTAAATAAATAATTATATCTTCGCTCTACTCTGTATTGAGCAAAACAAAAATAATAGTAATTGTTGGTTATTAGATATTTATTCCATATACGACAATCATATACTTGTATATATATATATATATATATATGTGTGTGTGTGTGTGTGTGTTTGTCTGTGTTCTGTATATATATATATATATATATATATATGTGTGAACACTATAACATATATATATATATATATATATATCATTCATATATATATATATATCATAATTGCTAAAACTCTATTGGAAAGTCTTTTTTAGATTCTTTTTAGTAAATATTTAATTCAAACTCACTTGTGGTTTATATTCTGAAATTTTTTATTTACAATTTCTGGGAAAAAAGCTTTTATTTTGTGATCAGTTCTCAACAAAACTTTTCGCTCCTCAAAATGTCATCAAATATATTTTGACATCAATAATCTGTACATGAGATTTTCATTTTAAAGGTTTTTATATGGATGAAAAATTCCTCTGGTTTGTGATTTGATTTTTTCTTTCACATTATTTTTACATGAGAAATAAATTTTTCCAGAAATCATTACAAAGAATGTTACTTTCTTTTTAAATCATATCCTGATGAAAGATTTGAAATAAATGTCATATTCTGTCAGAAAAATAAACAATTCTAACATTTCGAATATATATATATATATATATATATATATATATATATATATATATATATATATATATATATATAAAGAAATATATGTCTTTAAATATGCTATAATTTATGGAATAAACCTCAATTCAGAGAATATTTTAAAAATAATAAAAAAATTAACATTTCGACTGGACACAAAAAATTCTTTAATTTTGTATTCTTTATATATATATATTCTCTATATATATATTCTCGAATAATGTAAATATTTAAATTTTTTCGGACTATTGTCCAGTTGTCCTCTCTTGCCATATTTATTTAACGTTTCGGCCGATGTACGCTCCGGCCTTCTTCAATGGTTGGAATGTTGAACTGATTCCTTTATTTCGCTCACTGGGGTAGACTGTTAAATATTTTGCCATGTTTAATAGATGTCAGTTATCAAATAAAAATATTAATTCACCTCTGCCTTAACCAGGTATTGAATGCTAAAGTCACTGGATCTAAAAAAAAATAAATATCCACTCTACTATGTGCCCAAAGGCCGTGAGTTCAATACCTAGTTAAGGCATTGGAGAACATGGAGAGGCAAAAGATAACTTTAACTGACTTCCATTAAACATGGCACAAAGGAACTTAAATAGTCTATATGCTATCCTGTACAAGAAATAAAAAGTTCATCTCAAATTCCAACCACCTGAATGAAAGCCGAAACGTACGAATAAATATGGCAACAAAAGATGAGGACAATAGTCCGAATAATGTAAATAGTGCACATAATACCTCATCTCAGAAATATAGACAGATACTGAAAGGCCGAAACGTTGTGATAAATATGGCGACAAAGAGGAGGACAGTAGTCCGAATAATGTAAATAGTGCACATAATACCTCATCTCAGAAATCTAGACATATATATATATATATATATATATATATATATATATATGATATGTCTAGTTCTTTGACTATAGATTAATATAGAAATTGTTTGAACGAATTGGAGCTACTTATAGTCCATTTATCTATATTACTGCATACGTATAAGAGCGTGGTTGTCTGCTTGAATATGAGTCGAGGAATGTTTTCCCGGGAAGTGTAAAAATTGCGCGGAAACAGAAGAAAATGGCGGAATTGAAAGTGAAAGAGAAAGTCGTTGCAACATTGTTAAGGAATATTACTTTTATGCGGTCATTCAAAGATCCAATCTGTGCCGGCGCGAATCGGAGAGACGCTGTCAAATGCAATTAAGCGTCATTGTCGTTAAGATGGAGTCAAGATGCTATGATGGAGTCTAAAAACGTAATGGGAGACAATTGGTTTTCTAGCGACCAGACGAACACTTTTACACTTAGAAGAAAAATTAATACTCTATTCGGATGTGGGAGGGAATATGCACATATACCTGCTATATATATATATATATATATATATATATATATATATATATATATATATATATATATATATATATGGGGCTGTGTACGTTTTCTGATAGGTAGAGAGACGAATTTTCGTAGATGTGAGAAAACGTCCGTTAACCAGATGTGATAGATTGTGTTAAGAAAAAAATTGATACAGAGAAGGCCATGGAATCCAATGTGGAAGAAAGCAGAGAATGAAGTACAACAAATCGTGAGAGAAAACAAAGAAAGAGAAGAAGATAGAAATGAATTTAAATAAAAAAATCAACATATGGATTTAAAAAGGAAGGAAGGAAGGAAGGAAGGAAGAAGGCTTTAAAAACAAACAAGGGGCTACTGTATAGAATTGGAAACAAAGAAAGAATGAAAGAAAGAAGGGCCGTGAAAGAGAAAGTATGTATATATCAAAAGAAAGAAAGAAAGAAAGAAAAAAAAGGGCCTAAGGAGAAAGTGTATATATATATATATATATATATATATATATATATATATATATATCAAAAGAAAGAAAGAAAGAAAGAAGAGCCGTGAAAGAGAAATGTATATATATCAAAGAAAGAAAAAAAAAGAAACAAAACAAAAAGAAAAAAAGAAAGAAGGGCCTAGAAGCAGAATGTGTATATATATATCAAAATAAAGAAAAAAAGAAAGAAAGAAAGAAAGAAAGAAAGAAAGAAGGGCCTAGAAGGAGAAAGTGTATATATATATATCAAAAGAAAGAAAAAAAAAGAAAAGAAAAAGAAAAGAAAGGCGAAAAGAGTATATATATATATCAAAGAAAGAAAGAAAAAGAAGGGCCTTTTTAAGAAAAGTTGTATATATATGAAAAGAAAGAAAGAAAGAAAGAAATAGTGAGAAAGAAAGGCCTAAAAAGGCAGTGTTCAGCTTTCAAAGAAAGAAAGAAAGAAAGAAAGAAACAAGGAAAGAAAGAAAGGCCTAGAAGGAGAAAGTGTATATATATATCAAAAGAAAGAAAGAAAGAAAGAAAGAAAAAAAAAAAAGAAAGAAAGAAAGAAAGAAAGAAAGAAAGAAGGGCCTAGAAAGAGAAAATGTATATATATCAAAAGAAAGAAAGAAAGAAAAAAGAAGGGCCTGGAAAGAGAAAGTGTATATATATGAAAAGAAAGAAAGAAAGAAAGAAAGAAAGAGAGAAAGAAAGAAAGAAAAAGGAGAAAGAATAAAATTAAAAGGCCTAAAAGGCAGTGTTCTAAAGAATGGCCTTTTAAGAAAAATATATCAAAAAAGAAAGAAAAAAGGGAAACAGAAAGAAAAAAACAAAATATATATTAAAAGAAATCAAAGAAAATGAAAAGAAAGAAAAAAAATTGTAGGGGAAGGCCAAACAGAAAGAAAATTTCAAAAGAATGAAAAAAAAAAAAGAAAGAAACAAAGAAAGAAGTGCCTTAAAGGGAGAAAGTCATGTATATATAAATCAAAATAAATTAATGAAAGAAAAAAAGAAGGATTTGGATCATTTTTTTCCTAAATATGAAAAGAAAAAAAAATCAAAAAAAGCCACTAAAAGGAAACATATTTATTTCAAAGAAAGAAAGAAAGAAATTTATAAAGAAAGAAATAAAGGGCCTATAATGAATCCTTATATATAATATCAAAAAAAAATTTTGTTGAAAAAAAGAAAAAAAGAAAGAAGGGCCTATAAAAGAAAAATTTATATATATATATAAAAGAAAAAAGAAAAAAAGAAAAAACAAAAAAAAAAAAGTTTAGACCCCCCTCATCTAGAAAATATAAATGTTTTTTTCAAACAAAAAAAAAAAAAGAAAAGAAAAATTTTAAAAAAAAAAAAAAGAAATCCTAGAAGGAGAAAGTCTTAAATATATATTGTAGAAAGAAAGAAATAAAGAAAAAAAAAAGAAATGTTTAGAATAATAAAAAAAAATATATTCATCATATAAAGAAAGGATTTCCAATATCAATAAAAATAAGGAAAATGGAAATTTATATATATGTGCCCTTTTGAAAGAAAGAAAAATTAAAAAGATTCTTCAAAATTTGTTTAAATTTTTAAAAAAGAAGGGAAAAAGGAGAAAACATTATATATATAAATATTTTAAAATTCCAAAGAAATCTTTTGAAGGGCCTTCAATGAAAAGAAAGTATGCTATAAATAAAATTTAAATCAAATATCTCTATCTAAAAAAATCTTTTTTTAAAAAAAAGAAAATGTAATTATTCTGTAAAATTTTATGGCTTCAAAAGTGAAAAATAAAGAAAGAAAAAAAGAAAGAAAGAAAAAAAGAAGGTGAAATATTTAAATAATTAATAAGAAGAAAAAAAGAAAGAAATTTGAAAAAAATCAAAAATATAAAGGAAAGAAAAAGGCAAAGAAAAAATAGACGAATAAATTAAATGAGAAAAAAAAAAAGCAAAATTGAAAGAAGGGCCTAGAAGGAACAAAATAAAGAAAGAAAAAAAAAAAGAAAAAAAAACTCAAGAAGATTTCAAAAAGAAAATTTTGAGTCAAAAAATTTTTATACAAAAGAAAGAAAAGCAAATAAAATAGATGAAATCAATTTTAAAATGAAAATCAAAATAAAGAAAGAATATTCAATGAAAAATAAAATTAAACTAAGGGCCTATGTGTTGAGAAAGATTTGTAAAGAAAGAAATTAAGAAAGAAATTTAAATTTAAATTTCCTTTTTTGGCTATCATATTGTCGGTTTGGAGGAAATTAAAATAAAATTTCTTAAAGAAGAAAAGAATGACAAAAAAAAAATAACAAGTAAAGAAAAATAAAAAGCAAATAAAAATTGAAAATAAAAATTTTAATACAAAAAAAATATTAAAATTCAAAATTTTTATTTTAAATAAAAAATAAAAAAACAAAAAAAAAAAAATATAAGTTAAAAATTAAATTATTATTGTGTTTTTCATTTCACTTGTAAAGAAATTTAAAGTTTTTAAAGTTAAAAATGAAAAAATTTTAAAAAATTATTAAAATTTTAACATAATGGAAAAATTTCTATTTACATTCTTCATTAAATATTTAAAAAAAATAAATATTTATTTAAATATTATATAAAAACATCTATATATAATTATATAAATTTTTTTTTGCTAAAATCATTTTAAAAAAATGTTTTAAACATTTGTTATATTTTTATAAAAATATTTAAATTGAATAAAAATTCATTTGAAAATAAATTTAAATATAAAAATCCATTTTCGTAAAAATTAAAAAATAAAATTCATAATAAAATTATATAAAATTTATTTTTTTTTTTATATTTGTAAAAACATATAAATTACCATTTTTTTGGAAATTTTTTGAGAAAATAATTTTTCTAAATTTGCAAATAAATTCAAAAAAAAAAAATTTAAGATAGTAAAAAAAAATATTTCTGAATATGTATTTTTAAACAAAGTGGAAATTTAAGACTGTATGCTATAAAAACCTGAAGTCTCAATTTTATTTAAATATTTTTATAATAATTTTTATTTTAAAAATATGATTTTTATTTTAAACTTTTCTGCATTATTTGAACAGGGTTTTTGGAATCCATTTCAAAATATGACAATGATTTTTGAATTTCTGTTTTAATCCATTATTATTTAATTTGAACAAACAGCAAGCAAAAAAATATAGTTGGACAAATTGTAACGAATTTATTTTGTTGAAATTTTGTTGATAATGGTTGCCATGAAAATTTTGTCAATTTTATGTGGTTGCATTTCATTTAAATTAATCAGCCCAAAATTGGTCAAATAATTTAACAATGAAAAATATATATATTGTTTTCTTTTAGATATAATGTTCTGTGATAGTTTTATTAAAAATATATATGGTTAAAATTTGGTTTTCACAAAAAATAAAATGAAAATATAATTTTAAAAGAAAGATTTTTTTTTATAATTTATTATTACATCTGAATTTAAATCTTATTCATTATATATAAATTTACTTGGTGTTTGTAGTCGATTTCGTAGCAATATAAAAAATGGACCCACGTTTTAAAACACCCTATATGGCACATTGTTAAATTTCACTTGGGGAAAAATAGCGTTATGCCTAATTATTCCATAATTTCAATCACCATATATTTTATACTATTGCTCAATTAAAAACCTTTTAATTAAATTAATAAAATATCATGTAAACTGATCAGTTGATATTTGACCAATTTTATATGATTCAGAGCTAAAGTATTTAACTGTTATTAAAGATAAAATTTAATTAAGTATAAAATATATTAAATTTAATTAAAGATCATAATAGAAATGTAAAAATTTTTAATTATAATGTAAAAAAATATTTATTTTTTTCCTCTAAAGTCATTTAATTATTTCTTATTTGGAAGCAATAAACTCCTGATTTTAAAAACTAAATTGATTTTTTTTATGTAATAAAAAAATACTCCATTTGAGAAAAAAATCAGGTTTTTATAAAAAGTTCATTAAAAAACATATAGTTACTTTCATTGCTAATAAAACATCTAATTCAATCCCATATCAACACAATGGTTGAAATGTTAAATATGGCGTTAATGAAGAATTTGACATATATATATTCAAAGATTACATTTTAGTATAATATATTTTAAATTATCTAATTTAAATATATCAAATTTAATCTTCTATGTCATTCATCATTTCTTTGTTGTAAAATGATTTTTTTTTTCTTTCATAATATCATTGTATATCTTATATATTTATAAAAAATATATATATATATTGTGGAATATATTTTTTCATCTATCATTGAATATATCTATGTAAGAA